GGGCGCGCCCCCTGCCTGTGGGCGAAGTTTCCCCCGAGCAGCCCAGAGCGAGGCGTCGGGGTCCCGGAGTGGGACCTTGACCCCCGGCGGGGCAAGTGGGACTAGTCCCAGGAGGGTGAACGAAGCCCCTCGCAGCCGGCTCGGACCCCGAGTTCGGAAGGGCCACGCCGGGAGCCGGCAGACTCGTGGCGGACTCCCCGCCTCCCGGCCTCCGCGCCCGTGGCTATCGCGTTCTTTCCTTTTTGCGGGCGCGTGTTTGCTGGTGGGGATGGGATCGGCCAGGGGTTGCCCTGTTGCGGTTGGAGATGAGTCGAGATGTGCAGGAGCCCTGCCTGCTCAGCCTCGCAGTTTTACGCTTTTTCCGTTTCTCTTTTTTTAGTCTCATTATACAAGAAGGGAAAAAGAGCGAGTGTAGGAAAGGAGATCCTATCCCCGAAAGTGATCTGAAAGCTAGGAACCTCTTATTTAACATTAGATATTTTTTTCAAGAGTGGCTTTTTTCAAGGCCCTTAAGTGCACTTAGCACCTCAGTGTTCCACAGTTATCTTGGGTTGCTTTTTAGAGCAAAATCATTACTCTGTTACGGCCAAACTGTCACCTTCAGTCTATTGTGCACAGTATCCAAAAGCATTGCATTAGCTCCTTTATTGGTCTCTGCAGGAAGGTTTGTGGACAAGAGAACAAACTACCATGGTGGTAGGGACCCCGAGATTATAATACAGGAGTTGCACAGGATATTACCTCATTAAGAGCGCCAGCTAATTTAGACAATATATTGGTCTGTGAGTTACCTAGATAGGAAGATTGCTTTAATTTTTTCTAACTCGCCAACCTGAGTTAAGTTGTTGTGGTGTTTTTTAACTCGAGCCTGTGCCTTTTAAACTAAATTCGTTTTGTTGACCTGTCAGCCATGAGTTATTTATTCTTACTTTCTAGACCTATCCAAACTTGACGATATTTATCACTTGAAATACAGAGAGAAAATCTTCTTGACAGTTACTAAATACATAGATAAATATTTTGTGGAGTAAGTTGCCCATATATCAAAGTACTGGATTGCACTTCTGTTATGGATAGAAAAATTGGTATTACATCACTTATTGAACACTAGAGGGGCCCACTTATGGAGAACTCAATTTAAGATAATAGTTAATTACTGGCATTCTTTCATGAAACATTTTAATTCCATTTTAGAAGTTTTGATTTTTTTCCTAACACTCTTTAGAAAATAACTTTTTTTAGTTTTAAAGCTGTGAAAGACTTTATTATATATTTATTACAGAATTAGAAAATAACTTTTATGTTACTTGGAACCACAGAAGAAAATAAATTATTCTGAAGCTTTGTAAACTGGATGCAGTATTCTTAGTCTTTGCTTTGAAACACCAAATTAGATAAAAATGAAATTGGAGCCAGAAAAAGAAAACTGCTAGTATTGTACTTAACAGTGTGATAAGAGAAAGTTCTGTTTTTTCAGATTACAACAGAAGTGCATGGTGACCAAATATTACTGGTAACAAAAATTGTATATTTTCAGAGAGTATCATTTTTACAAATGGATGACTAAATACTGTTTAGTAGTAATATTGAGGCTAAAATTAAGGGTTGCAGAAAAATTCACAGCTGAATGGTGATTTTGTTGTTTTTCCTTATTTTAAAGGAAGATTAGAAATCTGCATTGAGTCATCCAAAGATTACTACTAAAATTGAGTATTGTAATCATTAAAAGTCTTACTGGGTTGCTTCAAAGGTAATATTCTTTTTTTTTTTTTTTTAAGTATGGCAAAGAAAAGTTTCTTTCTCTAGTTTCAAGAAAATACTTACTTGAAGCCCAGCCTGGCATGTCTCAGGTTGAGCATAGACCTAGGATCCAGGAGATGGAGGTTCGATTCCTGGTCAGGGCACATGCCCAATTTCGGGCTCGAT